GGGCCGGCAGAGGTTTCGATTTGGATTGCGTACGATTATACGACACAGAGTTTGCAAGTTTTTGGGTACGAACGATAAAATCAAGCAAGGCATCCGTGGTTGCATCAATACATTCAGAAAGAGGTTTGAAGAATCTGGAGAGCCGAATCAAGTACGGGGTAGATATAGCAGAGTAAANNAAACGACTTGTTTTCAGTGGTTAGACACATTGAGTGACATGACTGGATGTTGTAAACAGTGGCGTTCGAGCACCTATACAAATTTCTGACAATCTTAGTCTACCGGAATTCTCTCTCCATCGTCACATGGACACTGTTTTCAACATTCCAATCTCCCCTCCCCCGCTCCTCTACTCCATCCTAACGGGTACCGAAAAACAACAACCAGAACTGCCGCACGAAAATGCATGATTAACGGTGGTAACAGGTAAAACTGAATAAAAACATTTTCAACACGATCAGTCCATGAGTGATTGTGGAACACAATGACACCCAGAAATGCGACTATAGAACGATAAGATGGGGAAGATCACGAAACGGAATATGGTAGTGGGAGCCAAATAGAATATCGAATGAGACATCAACACAGCATTTGGCATTGGGAAGTGGGGCAAATAGCAGCTGTAAATGGGGTTAGGCTATCTTAGAGGAGGTTAGGAAAGGACAACGTTTGGACACACCCAATTTCTAAATCATTAGCATACTTGCAAATGACATAGCAGCGAGGAACGGGAACGATTGTCACACAGGAAACAGATAGAATATCAACTTGAATTCACGAGCAAAGAGTAAGCTGTTTACCTCTGTAAATGGGCAAGCCTGTTCCCCTAACAGCATGACTTATGGTGACATTCAATACATCAGCTTCTAGATCGCCATCAGAAAAGAGCACCAAATGTGCAGTCCACGATCGGGTGACCCGAAAGTGTTGCTGTAATCTAAGACTATCAAATGAACGCCGCTAGGATGCCACACAGTGTAAATACAAGTGCAATCGAATCCAGTGCAGACGCTGACTGTTCGTGGGCAAAATGGATACAGTCGATGGGATCCAGAAGCGGATATAAGGGTTCTAAATAATGTTTCGAAAGCGTTTAGGACCATACAGGTGCAAAAAAATCTATCTCAACTTCGCAGATCTCCAGCGATTCGGGGTCGTTCGAGTAATAGTTGATATAAATTTTTTAACACAGGCCTACAGAACGATAGGCGTCACTGAATCCGGGTCAGGAGATTTGCCGGTTTGATATTGGTTCAAAAGAAGCAATAAACTCTAACAGCTTTCGATTCGTTTTTCACTTACAGTTATCGATGAATAGTGGTGTGAGATACGTGGCATCTATTTGAACCGACCATCTCTCGATTGTCACGCACAATCCTCGATTCATGCAGTCAGCCATACACTTGGGAAGCACCAGACATTAGTCTTGCTCTCATCAGTAGTGCATATCCGTCATCCCGTTCGGGTTTGAATTCCGAACCAATCCCGTGGAAGGTGTGTGCAAACCAGCTCACATTAGGGCTGACCATAATTACCCATTCATATTTGTTTATATATCATCCTCAAAGATAGCCACTTACTTTTTGGCTCGAAAGCAACGAAAGAAGATAAAGCGTACAATCTGTCAATTCGTTCCAGACTCCGACTCCACTTTTTCATTCACCCTAATTTCACAAGACATTTTGATCGAGCGTGTTATCAAAAGCTTCCAGACAAGGAATACCGTGCTATCTTATTACGGTTAGACTGATCCGCCATCTAGTACACAGGTCGGTAAACCAACAGCGGAATCCTAAAGGTACTCTAAAAATTCTGAACCTAAGCCGGGAGGATCTAACAATTGATGAATCAATACGGAACGCATTGGAGGTTTAGTACTTTAGATTTGTCCCATATGTCTTAAGGAAATACGATTAATTTGGCATCAGTTTCGATCTGCAAGCTGTGAAAAATTTCATTCACTGTACTCAGTATGCTTTGTGAGTCCGATTATTCGGTCACAAGTGTGTTCCGACTAGTGCATGGATACTACTA